AAAAAAAGTTTTTTCCCTTACCAAAAAAAAGGGGAAAAAAAAAAAAAAAAAAAAAAAAAAAAAAAAAAAAAAAAAAAAAAAGGAAAAAAAAAATGTCACATTATTTCTTTTTTCTCCCGATGTATCAACTAAAAAACACATATTATCTTTTCGACTATCTTCATTATATTCCACCCTTGAAGAATAACATTTTTCAAATAAATGCTTCGAAGCACCATAGAATTTCTTCGAGGCAAGTGCTAACGAGTTTTCTTCTTTTTCCTAAAAGGCAAAGGGTTTCATTTATTATTATTCTTATTTGGACCTTCGAAATAACATCCACTTTGAAAAAAACACCTTTGATTTCAATAAATATTTGCCTATTTACACGACGTAGAAAGTATCACCAACTGCACCTAAAATAAAAGATGCCCTGCGAATAAGTAAAAATACTATTATTTCATTCAGTAAAAAAAAAAAAAAAAAAACAATTCTCCTTTGTTCTCAATTATTTAAATCCAGTTTTTCCAATACTGATGATACATTTTCAGTAACAGGAAGAACTTCATCCACAAAGGCCAATGTTTGAGACTTATCCTCGGATAATCCAATTTCATGAACGCCGTGATGACTTTTTAGCCTTTCTCTTTCAGATCGTGCCTTTGCACGACGTTCTTCTTCGCGTTTTTTTCTTTCAAGCATCTTGGCTTGTTCCAGACTTTCCTGTCGAGCTCTTTCAGCCTCCTCCAACTCCTTCTGACGCAGCTCTTCCCTCCTTCTTTCTTCTTCTATGGCTCGTTCTTGCTCTTCCTTGATTCGTCTTCGTTCTTCCTCTTCTCTTCGAATTCTACTATTCAGCTTCATCAAACAGAATATCCGATGGCACTCACTAATAAGGAAAAGAGCGTCACAAAATCCATCTAATCCTTTTTCTTGAAAGAGCCTCAAAAATTCTTCTTCTATGAAGATAATATTCTGTTCTCCAATAAACTTATTTTCCTGAAGAAGATCAAAATCGACATATAAATTATGACGACAAACTATCCTATCACTGAGAAGATGTTCCTGGTGGGCCATTATATGTGCAACAGTTGCCGCTGACTTTTTCCGTTTTAACATTAAATTTTCTTCTCTTGCAAAAATTTGCTTTTCGCCTTGTGCATTCGACATATCCAAGAAACTTCTCTGATCAACCCGCGCCTTTTCTTCGTCATCCCAGGTTCGTGTAATCCACTTGACATGCTCATCATCAATTTCATTTATTCTGCCTTTCCGCAAAGCGTAGGATTGCCATGTCTCGTTTAAAAGAACTTGACGGTCGTAGACACACTCAGCATACCTTAGCTCTTCAATGGTAGTTGCCGGCAGTCGATAGACATATTCGAACGGCCTCGCCTTGTCCATACTATAGTCACTTCGCTATTATAGCGCAAAAAAAAAAAAAAAAAAAAAAAAAAAAAAACCAGGTAGCAGTTATATATAAGATAAAAGACACTAACAATAATAATAATAAAAACAAACAATAAAAATTGATGGGACTCTTCCCATTCAGCCATATATATATATATATATATATATATATATATATATATATATATATATATATATATATATATATAACATCAAACAATCTTTTCTTGTTTCCAGAAAGGTGATATTCATTCTTAAATTCTAAAATCTAATCCAAATCAAATAACTCAACAGGCAAAAACAAAAACAAACAAAAATGATTCAACAAGAAATAATTCTGCAAAAACTCTTAAGAAATTACACCAAATAAACGGACGTTAATACTAATACTACTACTACTACTACTACTACTAATAATAATAATAATAATAATAATAATAATAATAATAATAATAATAATAATAATAATAATAATAATAATAATAATAATAATAATAATAATAATAATAATAATAATAATAATAATAATAATAATAATAATAATAATAACAATAACACTGCTTTCGCTTGAACACGCAACGTCATCGAAAAGAGCAAAAAAGGCAAAAAAGTAAAAGCACAAAATAATTTCGTCAACAAAAAACGCTAGTGCCACTGCAAGTCCAAGAAACCAACAAGGCAAAAAACGCATACAACAAAAACAAAAGGCGAAACACCGGCACCAACCCCCTTCACAAGCGTCGCCACTTTTCACTCCACAAAGGTCCCCTCCAAACGCCTTTGCCCCACAACGCCGCCGACAATCGCTCATTGTTGCCGGCCGGGGCCAGGATCCAGCACTGTTTCCCTCGCGGGGTTGCCGCCGCTGTTGGCGCAGGGCCGGCGCGAGCAACGAGATTCATTTTGGAAAACACGAGAGAAAACAACAGAAGCAAATCCGTGAGTGCCGCGGCAAATTGGCACGGATGCTCTCTCTTTACTTTGTGACGGGACAATGCGATGGTGCGCCCTGCGCCTGTCGTTTTCGCCCTTACAGGCACGTTCCGAGATGGAGCGTGTCGTTTTGTGAAAAGGCTCCGTGCGTCAACGCGACAGGGGGATACGGTTGGCGGTGGCAGGAGTTCCTTCCGGAACGGCACTGAAGCGCAGGGTTCCCGGAGTCGGTCGCTCGCCGAGGTGGGGGACGGCTCTCAGGGATTGCCCCGAGCCTGCTTCTTAATGCCGTTGTGGTTGTTGACGGCAAATTGTTGATGGGAGAGCGAGAGATAGTGTGGTGTCGTGTGATTTCTCTCAGTGCCCTGGCTCAGCCGGCCACCTCAACGTGGTGCCAGGGTCTAGTACTCTTTGCTGGAGAGGAAGCTAAGCGCCTGCTGTTCATGCTTCAAACCCGATGAGTAGTTGTTACTTAGTTTTACGGGCCGGAAGGGCAGATGTTGGAGCCATTCTATAATGGCTGCCCGCGGAGTAAGGTTATCCTTGCTACTGAATTCCTTCGTACGCTTACCAGAGCTGCACAATTGAGGTGTAGTTACTACGACTGGTAAGAGAAGAAAAAAAAAAAAAAAAATTTCTCTCAGTGGCACCCGTTGGAGCGATGCGTGTGTGTTTGCCTTGCGGATGTGGTGTTTTGGATCCCTATTTCACGCTATTCGGTGGTGCGGCAGTGAGCGGAAACGTGATGCAGTCACGAGCTGCACGGGCGTGGTGGACACGGTTATGTGAGCCTGTGGAGGACCCGAGCAAATCAAAGTGTACTATGCGGTTTGGGTCTACAAGGAAGGAAGAAACAGTGGACGGCTGAGGGGAGTTGCAATGCACGCGGCTGCAGAAGATGACATGCGTTGCTGAGTTTACGTTGACTGCCACTTTGGATGCTTTTTCTCGAGGCCGTGAATCCTTTATAATTTATTTGGAGGTGCCTGATGACGCCAGTTGTGGAAGGCATTTTCATTTCATACGAGGATGGCACACGGGAGAAAAGGACGAAAGAGAGCGACGCCTCGCCAAAGGAGCGGCTGCTGGAACGTTGACGAGACTCGGGATTGTCTGCACGGCCAGCTGCTTGCCCTCTGCAGGATTTTCCTTGAGGAGCCCATTGCCCCGAGTGTGAGGTGCACGCACGGGCAGGCACCGCAACAACCGTGTCATTACTTCTCCGTTGCACGAATGAGACGACGCACATCAGGCGTGGCGGGTGACACCCTCTGCGAACCTCCCTTCTCCCACAGCCTCTTCTTCACAACTTGGCATTTTCTGCGCTGTGAAACCGCTCCCATTGGTCGTCTTCTGTGACACGAGAGCCGCCTGTATTCCTCTCCATTGCATTAAAGAGTCGTGAGGAGGGCTTGGAAGGTGCGTTGAGGAGCCGTGTGGTCTTTGCGAGCATGTCCTCTGTTTTTCATAGGTGTTGAATTTCGGATTGCCGAAACGCATCTTGAGTGCTTGCGTTAGAAGGTTGCATGACTGAGGGACAGGCGTGTTTGTGGAGGTGAAGGAGGGCCACGCCATTGGGAGGAGGAAGAGTGAATGGGTGGGTGGATGGTGTCTGTGGCCCACATGTGGTGCCCGACTGGTGCTTCGCGTTGTTTGGTGCTATTATCATTTGCATTCACAAAGAATGGCTTTGGGTGCAGCACCCACGAGTCCTTATGTCGTTGACTGAGGTTTCTCTAGTGCTGCTTCTCCCAACTATCTTTCTGCGTGTGTGTGGACATGGCTCTTCTTCCGTGCTGTGCATTTGCCGCGTAAGCTCTCGATGGTCTGTGTGAAATATGTTATGATTTGCGGCATTTTGTTGGATTGTGCTTTGATGTTTGCCGCGGGGTGACAGCCAGATTGGAGGCGTTGCTTTTTCTTTACTGTGACCACGTGCGGTGTTTATGGGAGGCCTCTCGGGGAAGCGCCAGTCGACATTGTTGTGAAGCCCAGGCATGATGCCACACTGCTTATTGACGTGGAATGAGTTGGGAGGTTTGCATATAAGCTCCTGTGCATTCTTGCCGTGGTGCTCCTCACGCATGGCCCATGGCGACGACTGGCTGAGAATCTTCAATGGGCTTCTTGTTGAGTCGAGGGGCGCATAGCGTTTTTCTCGCTGATTGAGAGCCCGGGCGTCACGGATGATGCATGGGGCAGGCAGAAACTCGTGCATGGCGGAAGGAGGAAACAAAGAGCTGATTGTTTGATTGTTAATGACGAGTCCTGCCTCACTGCTTGGAGGGGGCTGTCGTTGTCTGGGGCAACCTGTTTTGTGTGTCCAGACACTGCTTGCGTCGAGTGGCGGGGTGCCATGTTGGTGTGTGCGGCTCCGTCATGCGGGGCGGCTGCGTGACGTTTACGGACCGTGCGCCTGTGAGCTGATGTATGTGGCGGGAGGCGTGTCTGATGGGAGTCTGCGAAAGGAGGAGTGAAATGCGTTTGGCGGTGCTGCTGTGCGGTGTGCGAGAGAAGAAGAAAAACAAGTGCTTTCAGACATGTTGGTGAGTGTGCCACGTCCACCGTTGAGTTTTCAGGGAGAGGGACAGGAGTGAGGGAGACGGAGACTGTGCGCACCCGCTGCGATGTGTGGTGCCACAGGATGCGATTGCCTTTGTGAAGGATGCAGCGGCCTTCATGCGTGCAGCAGGCGTCATCTGCATCTTTGTGTCTGCAGAGCTTGCAGGTTCCGCGAGGAGGTGCAGGCGACCTCTCATCATTGGGCTGCTGAGGCCGTTTCCCTCTCTGCTCGGCGGGGGAAGCAACTCTTCTTGCAGGCGATGTGCTGGTCTGCATCGATACTCCCAACGGGGTATCACTTCGCCGTGTCGTTGCAGTGCAACTCTCGTGCTCCTCACTGCACACGTGGCCCCCTGTCACTTGGCTTATTTGCAGCGCCATGGCCTGCGGTCCCCCATTGGGAGGCTGCCCAATTGTTTTTGTATGCTGTTGAGAAGAGCTGGGGGAGTAGTGGTGGCGGGGATGGTGATGTGTTTCCCTGTGAGTGGTTCGGGTGTGCACTGCTGTTGTGCTGCCTTTCTGCCGCTGTTGTCTGTTGCTTCCCTCCAAGAAGGAAGCTACTACCAAGCGCGAATCGCCACTGTGAAATTGTAAGGCTCTGAAAGGACCAACAACAGCACACACACCGCCCACACACACATATTTATATGCAGTTACGTGTTGCTGCTGTAATGGCACCCCGCACACACAACCGTCGCCGCGTGACCGGATCCAGCGGAAGGAGGAGGGAAGAAAGAGAGTGTGAGCCGCAGAGGCCCAACATGTCCCGGCGTGTGTTTACTTTTGCGGTGCTGCTCTTTCTTCTCGTGATTATGATGTGCTGCGACACTGGAAGAGCTGTGAAAGCTGATGAGCCAACGTCAGGTCAGGGGAAGTGCAACTGCCGCAATGGGTCGTTATTTTTCTGCTGAATAAGACGCAGGTGTTGTCAAGAGATGGGAATGGTGAGACTGGAGTGAAGGAAGCATTTGGCGCACCCTCTCTCGTTCGTGTTGGTGGGGTAATGATTGCATTTGCTGAGGGCTTCCTCGAATATAACGGCCATCACGAGAAATTATTTGGGACTCGTTATTCCGACATTGTGGCTGGGTACATCAAGGCTGCGGAGACGTGGCCGTCCATTGTCGCTGAGATCACCAAGGGGGAATGGAGGGCAGACACCGTGCTTGGCAGTAGGAATGGCGATGATCGTCTGCGCGTTTTTTTTCAGCCCGCATCCATTGCAGGGGACAATAAGGTGTTTCCACTTGCGGGAATCTGTGAAGAGAAGTACGACAATGATGATGAGGAAAGGGCGGCGGGTGACTCAGCTATTCAACTGGTTGTTGGTGTGGCCACGCAGCCCAAGGACGGCGAGCCGAGTGGAATGATCAACTGGGCTGAACCCAATTCACTTTCACAACAGATCTCCAAACACACTCAAGGCCACATGAAGGATTTTGTGACTGCTGGTGGCTCAGGCATTGTGATGCAGAATGACACGCTTGTGTTTTCCCTGA